CGCCCCGCCCCGCCCCGCCCCGCGGCACTCCCCCTTTTCCTGTCGCCGGGTCACCTCGGCGCTGGCGCCGCGGCCCCCTCGCAGCCCCCACATTCTGGGCCTCCTGGCCTGCCGGGTGTCCCCCACCTCCGGGCCGACCCTCGCCGCCGCTGCCCCTGGACTCAGACCACCGCTCCAAAGGCGGCCCAAGGACGTGGCCACCCGTGCCAGCCCGCTCGCTGCACAAAGGGGCCCTTGAATTGCGCCCGAGTGACCAACGGTCACCTAGACGGGCAGTCTGCCCCTTCGGGTTCCCTGGCGCAATTGCGGGGAGACCCAGCCGGCCTTGGGGCGACCTCGCCTCGCGGGGCCTGGTGGGCGCAAACGGGTTGGGGGAGGGGGTAGCAGTAGAAATGGGGCGTGTTTCTGGGCGGGGCTGAGGGTGCCGCTTTGGGTGCCAGGAGCAGTGTCACCGCGGGCGCTCCTGGTTCGGGGCCAGGTGCAGATATCAGGCAACAGTGTTCACATCAGCTTAGCTGATGGGCCGCCAGCCTGGCAGGACAGCAGTGCCGTTAGCGCTGGCTTGGGGGCAGGGGCCCTGCCAGGCTGTTCCAGATCATTCCTGCGCGGGGACAGCCGGCAGGCCTCAGGGAGCCGACCTGAGTTTGTGAAACCAAGTTTCCTTTTTGCACAAGTCCTCGCCACGTGGTGGGCTGGGGTCCTGTGTTTTTTTGCAGTTTAGGAAACGCCCACTGTGCTTGGCGCTCCCAAGGCCCAAGGCCGTTCACAATGCTATTGGCTTCTTCCTTTTTTCAGATGCTAAGGTGACCTGTTACTGAAATCTGTCACTGACACCATCATCCCCCCCAAACAAACAAACAAACAAACAAACAAACAAACAAACAAACAAACAAACAAAAACCTGTTCAGTTTCCTCTGCCAAATACAAAAGTTTCAGTCTTGAGAAGAGTGCGGACCTCTGGCCCTGGGGCGGTGGGGCTTTCCTGCTGGGCTGTTCGTAGCCCATTCGCAGGTGCTATGGGGCTGACTGTGTGCAGGAGCGCCCATGGGAGCATTCTCAGTTCAGCCTCATTCCACCTTGTCTGGCCATTATTTTGTATCAGTTTAAAGAGACCAGCTTGTCCCTCTTTCCACTCCTGGAACAGGACACGGCTGCCCCATCAGAGGAGGCCTGAGAGCCCCCAGGAACGGGGCACTGGGCTGCTGCAGGATTCACAGCCCCTGGGGCAGATGACAGGGTGACTCTGGGAGAGTAAGCTGGTGGGTGCAGGTGGGCGCCCTACAGCCAGGGCGCTGCAGGTAGCAACGGTGAGCGTAGGCTGGGTCATGATGGGCTTCTCACACGAGGGGTAGCAGCATTTTCGGCTGGAGGACCCCAGGGTCCTTACTGGATGGACAGAATCCAGTCCTCACCAACCCGAGGGCAGAAAGGGCCACGTTCCCCGGAAGCTTCTTTCTGGTCCTGTAGCTTCCAGCGCTGCACCCTTTCCGAGGGACCCCACCCATCACTCACATCCCACCACGGCCTCCCTCTTCCTAGCACTTAGCTGCACATTTGTGTGTGTGTGTGTTTGCTATCCTGCCCCCACTCCACTGGGATTTGTCTGTTCCGTTGACTGGTGTATGACCAGCACTGAGAACTATGAATGCCTGGCACATAGTAGGTGCTCAACAAATGTTCCTCTCAAGAGCAAATGCACCCCCACTTTACAGATGGGAAACTGGGGCCCCCAGAGGTGACAATCACCCAGACAGGAAGTGACAGGGGAGGAAGCTGACCCCATTGTCCCTGTCTGCCACGCCTGCTGCCCTGTCGTGCTCCTGCTCCCTGGGGGGTACTGCTTCTGGATGCTGTTGTGTCCTCAGATGAAGAGGCTATTGCCCAATTTCACCTCCTTCCCCAGTTCCGTCCTCCTCTTGGGGAAGTGTTGAAAGAAAACGTCCACTTTTCCTCTGACAAGAAGTTGGAGGGGGAGGGCTGGGCCAGTGGAGGTGGCGTGAGACTCCACGGGTTGGGTCTGAACCAAATATTCAATATTTTACTGTAGCCCTCTATTTGGAAAGTTAACAAAAGCTCCTTGTTTCTAGAAAGTGAGACTCAGAATCTTTTCGGTCGGTGGAGATACTATGAGATTCTCTCTGAAATCAGTGATCCTGCGCTGAGCAGGGACTGGCCTGGGGTCTACTCAGCTTCCTCCCAAGAACATGGCAAAAGAAGGGAAGCGCTGGTCTCAGGGGCAGGGATGGGCAGTGTCCTGTCTGACCCTCCCAGGGCGCCCCGAGTCCCCATGACTACCCAGGGAAGGTGCTGGGTGTGAGTCAGTCCTGTCCTCTGCTGGGCAACAGCTGAGAGCCCTCCTGGGCATTTGCTGGGACCCAGCCAGACAGCACATGGCATCAGGTGACACAGTCAAGGCTGAGCTGGCACCACCTCCTGAGGCCCAGGGGAGCCCACAGCCGAGGGGAGGGGAACGCCACTAGGCACAGGGGGCACGCTGGCTTGGGCACGCAGATTGGCCAGAGGCTGACCAGGTCCACCCACAGCCTCCTTCTGTGGGGAAGGGATGGGGGGCAGGGTGGTACCCTGCAGCCTCTGTTTCTCTGGGGTTGGGTGGGGTCTGGAGGAAATGGCAAAGGCTCTCCATTCCTGGAAGTGGGGACAAAGCGGCACTGTGTGACCCCTCCCGCCTGCCACGTGGCACTGGGGGCAGGGGTGGGGTACCCAGCCTCTGAAGTCTGGTGAGCTGCTCCAGTCTCTAAGTTACATAACCAAGCCTGAGCCTGTTTTCTCGCCGTCTGAGATGAAAGAAGCACCTGTCCCCAGGCCTCTTTCCCGGGAGGCTCCTGGAAGCGAGGGCCAGTCCTGACTTTGCCTCTCGCATCTTGAGCGGGTGACTTCCTCTCCCTCAAACCAGGAGAAAACAAGGCCAGGAGGAGAGCCAGGGAAGGGAGGCTGTCTCTGCAGTCCCTCACGCTCAGGGAGGGTGTGGACCAGGGAGCAGCTGATTGCATAGCTGGCCGGTGGGGAGCACCAGAAGGCACCCCTACGAGCCCCCTGCTCCCTCTGGGGGGCGTCTCTAGGAGGCTCACCTCCCGGGGAGAAGACTGATGGAGTCCAGGCCTGGAGGCTGAGCCGGAGGAAGGGCCGCAGCTTGGAGAGCCGGGCCCTGTGCGGCGGGGCCTGTGAGTGGAGCTGGCCTGCCCTGGGGCTCAGGCAGAGTGTCGCTGGGCTTGTGTGTTTTCAGACCTCGTGGTGGGTGTGCCACCAGGCGCAGATGCCATCCCGACACCTGTAAATAAAGCAGCCTGTAAATCTTTCATGGGCGTGTGCTTAAAAATAGATGAGGTGAGGCCCCAGTTTCTGGGGCTCTGCAGTGGGCGGTGCTGGGGTCACAAACCCCCAGGGAAGCAGGGGGAGGTGGTAGGCCAGGGCTCCAGGGGGTGCTGGCCAGGGCACATGGAGTTGGGGACATGTGGCCTGGGCTCGGGCCAATGGGAAACCACCATGTGGATGTACCATCCAGAGACCCTGGATCACAAGGCTGGGAAGAGGGGCTGAAAGGCAGAAAACACAGGGCAGTGCCCAGGGAGGCCCTGAGCCCAGTGTCTTAATGGCCCCACCAGCTGTCCTGCCTCCGACATGGGCCAGTAACTGGGTCTTGTATAAGCCCTCAGAGATGGCCTTACCCAGCCCCCCACTGCCAGACAGGAACACAGGGGCCCAGCAAGATGGAGTGGGAGACAGGACATGGTGCCAGCCTACGAGCCCACGGCCAGGCTGGGCTGGACTTGTCCTGCCCCCCAGGTGACCCGGGCCAGCCCTTCCTCTCTGGGCCTGTTTCCTTATCTGTGTCAGGGGGCAGTGATGGGCTCCCGGGGGCCTAGTGAGATTTGGTGGGATAGGCTGTGTGTGAGATGCCAGCTTGTCAGCAGCTCTTCCTAGGGCATGCTGCCCTCTGGCCACCTCACCCATGGTCCAGTTGGCGTCCAGACTCAGTCAGCTGCCCCAGTCCGTGCTCCCCAGGCCAGCCCATGGGACTGGAAGGGGCTGGAGGCCAAGCAGGCCGCCCTCTGCCTCTCCCCACCACTCCCGGTTCTGGCTGCTGGCTGAGGGGCACCTCTCTGGGCCAAGGGTCTGAGGTGCCCCGGGCCCTGC